GCTATGGCTGGAAACGCGCGGTATCGCCGCGGAAATATGGAAGCCCGCTCTCAGTGACTTGGAGGTTCTTCTCCTCGAACTTGAACGACTTCGGACCTATTGGATTTTTCGAGACATGGCCCATAATGATGTTTGTCAAGGTCTGACTGTCATGTTCTCCAATCGGCACTGAGCAATACTGAAGGCTAGTGCGCGCCGGGCGTCGTTAGAAATGAAAGCGCCAAAGTGACACCGTCAAGAGAAGGCACATCATAAAAATGTATTCGTCGGGCTGGCTTTCTCCAGCCAGTTTGAAGAAATCCCCAACCGAGCCCTGTTGGAATGGGTCGTGAACAGGCTGCTTGGTTCCAGTCGGATGGAGGGTGGAAGCGGCTTCACGCGCTTTGCACGCACCCTCGTTAGCCACACAGAATCGGTCACCCCGCCGCGTACGCCAGTGCTTTTCAGCATTGCAAGCCTCTGGCCTTTCTAGCGAAACAGAAATCGATAAAGGGACGGCAAAGGACGGACGTTTGAGAGCGGATAGAACCTTAGGCCACTTCGTGGCCTTTGAGTTCCCAGAACTCCATTCCTGGGCATGATTTTGAATGCCCGGAGCCAACTGTAGGCCATTTCGTGGTCTTCGAGTTCCCAGAACCCCATTCCTGGGCATGATTTTGAATGCCCGGAGCCAACTGTAGGCCACTTCGTGTTCTTCGAGTTCCCAGAACTCCATTCCCGGTCCACATTTTGCTGAGGCAGGCTGAGGATGATGAGGCTGAAGCAGGCTGGCTGAGGCAGGCTGATGCTGAGGCAGGCTGAGGCTGAGGCTGAGGCTGATGCAGGCTGAGGCTGAGGCAGGCTGAGGCTGAGGCCGAGGCTGAAGGCACACTGAGGCTGAGGCTGAAGCAGGCTGAGGCTGAGGCTGAGGCAGGCTGAGGCTGAGGCTGAGGCAGGCTGATGAGGCTGAGAGGCTGAGGCTGAGGCTGAGGCTGAGGCTGCTGCTGAGGCTGAGGCTGAGGCAGGCTGAGGCTGAGGCGAGGCTGAAGGCAGACTGAGGCTGAGGCTGAAGCAGGCTGAGGCTGAGGCTGAGGCTGAGGCTGAGGCTGAGGCTGAGGCAGGCTGAGGGTGAGGCTGAGGCTGAGGCTGAGGCAGGCTGAGGCTGAGGCAGAGGCTGAGTTGAGGCTGAAGGGCTGAAGCAGGCTGAGGCTGAGGCTGAGGCAGGCTGAGGCTGAGGCGGCTGAGGCAGGAGGCTGAGGCTGATGAGGCTGAGGCTGAGGCTGAGGCTGAGGCTGAGGCTGAGGCTGAGGCTGAGGCTGAGGCTGAGGCTGATGGCTGAGGCAGGCTGAGGCTGAGGCCGAGGCTGAAGGCAGACTGAGGCTGAGGCTGAAGCAGGCTGAGGCTGAGGCTGAGGCAGGCTGAGGCTGAGGCTGAGGCAGGCTGATGCTGAGGCAGGCTGAGGCTGAGGCTGAGGCTGATGCAGGCTGAGGCTGAGGCAGGCTGAGGCTGAGGCCGAGGCTGAAGGCAGACTGAGGCTGAGGCTGAAGCAGGCTGAGGCAGGCTGAGGCTGAGGCTGAGGCTGAGGCAGGCTGAGGCTGAGGCTGAGGCTGAGGCTGAGGCTGAGGCAGGCTGAGGCTGAGGCTGTGACTGCGACTGCCGTTGCCACTGCGACTGCCACCGCGAGTGCGACTACGACTGCGAGAACAGCAGAATTCTACAACAGGATTCTCATCTGAATCTTAAGGGGAATGCTTCCAGATATGCTCCTACACATCGCTGTTAGGTTGCTTTGCCGGGATAATTTGGAGACGCGTCAGGGTCTCCTGGGAGGCATCCGCGGGGCCGCTCTGAAGGCATCTTGTGGGCCTTGTGGGGACCTCATGTGTTCCCGGGCCTCTTGGTGGCCTGCTGGCAGTCTTGATGGCCATCTTGGGGGGAGGGCCCCCAGACGGCTGGTTCGGGTTTCTCTCCTTGGGCCTCTCTTGGGATCCGTTTAGCGGCTGCTTGAGCCTTTTTTGGGGGGCCTCTTTTGCTGCCGGGCCAGTTTTTCGGGTCGATCGGCCGTCTCCGGCGCTCGTAAGACCGAAAAAGGTGTGCGCAAATTGGAGAGCATTCAGTGATCGGACTTTTCTGGCCATGCCCAAGGGCCTCCAGGACGCATTCAGAAGCTCCCTAGCAGAGTGTCCCCAGAGAGGGTCGAGGTACTGGCATTGGAATCTGGGGGTTGCCAGAAGAGAAGAATTTGGGCTTCCTATCCTCTCGCCCAGATGGTTCCGCCCATAGCCTCTGGCCTCTCTAGCTAAACAGGAATCGACAAAGCGGGGGACAACTTGGGACGGCAAAAGACGGACGTCTGAGAAGCGGAGAGGAGGGACGAGGAGGAGGAGGAGGAGGAGGGACGAGGAGGAGGAGGAAGAGGAGGAGGAGACAGTGAATCAGTGTAACTGCTCCGCCTCGACAGCCCTGAATTTTTCCAGCACGTCATGTCTGGTACGTTCACCCTGGGAATCCGTGAAATTTTGAGAACGAATGTGCCCGGAGCTAGGGCGAGAACCACATTTTGAAAAGGAGCCGCCCTCAATCCGTGAAGGTCTTGCAATTACGTGCATAGAATGTGCGCGGCGCTCAGGCGAGGGCCACATTTTGAAAACGACCCGCCCTCCATCCAGTAAGCCTTTGCAGATTTTTAAGACGAGCATGTGCGGCGCTAAGGCGAGAGCCACATTTTGCAAAAAACACCCGCCTTCAATCCGCGAAGTTCTCGCAAATTTGAAAGACGAGTGTGCGCGGCGCTCAGGCGAGAGCCACATTTTGAAAACCACCCGCCTTCAATCCGTGAGACTCTTTGCGCATTTTTAGACGAGCGTGCGCGGCGCTGAGGCGAGAGCCACATTTTGACAACCAACCGCCCTCCATTTGCGAAACTGCTGCCAACTTGTAAGCTCAGGATCATCGGTGGCAAGGAAGTCTCAGGTGAAGCGCCCGGCCCGCCCTCCGACTGGCCCTGGGGTGCGACAGGGAGGAGTTCTGCTTATGAGGTCAAGGGATGGATGAGGGGGAGGAAGCCTGGACAAGCACGTCGTGGCGACCCTCCTTCGCAAAAGTACGGGCTCTGTGTACCTCTTCCAGTCGCGTGCTTGCGGTATCCCAGCGGGGAAGCGTTGTCCTTGGACTGGGCGCTGGCTGCGCAGTGCGGGCACGCCCTGGGTCAGATGCTGGGCGACGCCGCGGGCGGGAAGCTCTTCCTTGCTAGCGCGGCAGGAGGCCGCGGGCTGTACAGCGCGGAACTCACGGCCCTGCGACGCACGCCGCCTCGTGGCACCTCTGCCTGCCGCGCTGCTTGTGGCGTCTAGGCCTGGACAGCGCCAGCGCCCTGACGACGGTGACCGTTGGCCAATGTTAGACGTGCCGCAGCCTGCCTGCGGCCACGGCGACGCTCCGGGCCGGTTTGGGGGACGACGCCGCCAACGTAGGTGACGAGGCCCCTGGCGGCGGCCGCACTGCGCTCCGCGGGGGGTCCTGGGGCGAGCGACTTCCTGCAGGTGCCGGCGCTGCCCTGCCACCGGCTGGCCAACGCGCAGTTCGACATTGCGCTGCGTTTCCGGCTGGACCTCGACCTGCCTGGTTGCGCAGGCCCCCTGCTGGCGGCAAGCGCACTGCCGACGCTCTGCCATCCCCGCTTCCCCAACGGCACGATCTGATCTGCGGCGTGCCGCTGGAGCCCAAGGGCGGCGCGCGCGACGCGGCCTGCGCGGCGCTCGCGGGTTGGTACGAGGAGCAAGGGTGCACCGTGCGTTGGGCGGTCCTGCTCCCCCACGCTGCCCCAGAGAGCCCCGAGGCGCGGATGGACTTCGTCGTCCGCGCCCCGCGCCGCGCTGAGCCGCTCATGGTCGACCTGACCGTGGTGATCGCGCTCACGCAGGACGCGTTCGGGCTCGGCTCTGCGCGGCGTGACGGCGCGGCAGTGGCGGCCGCGGCGCGGCGCAAGCGGGTCTGCTACCCCGGAGTGGCGGCGGCCACTTGGGCGAAGAAGCGCTAGCCCTGACGCGGCTGCTTGCGCCCGCGCGGGACACCCGGCGAACGCTCCCAGGCCATCTTGCGACTGCACCAATCGTTCGAGTGAGACCTTCAGCGCAACACCGTCGACGCGGTCCTCGCGGCGACGCAAGCGCAGAGCTGGGCAGCTGGCGCCCGCGCGAGGCCGCGGCTGGGGGCTGAGCCGCCGCAGGTGTCCGCGGCGCTGGCGCCCGCGGCTTTGCAGTGCCGCGGGCACTGCGGCGCCGCTCTCCTGGCCAAGCTGTCGCCGCCCGCCCGGTAGCGTCGGGTCATGGCCCGACGCTCTCCTGGGCGGGCGGCGATAGCATGGCCGCGGGCGCCGCGCTACTGCTGGCCGCGGCCGGCGAGCGGGGCCACCGCCGCGCTAGCCAGCGGCGCGGGCCGCGCGGCGGGCGCGGCGCGGCCGCGCGCAATCGCTTGGAGGAAGTGGCGGCGCATGGGCCCGAGGCGCGGGGCCCGGAGCGGCGGGCGCTGGGCCGGGCCGAAGCGGCTGGGCTGCCGTCGCTGCGGCGCGGCGGGGGGCTGCTGGCGGGGAAGTCGGCCAGGCGGGCGCTGGGGCGCCAGCTGCCGCGCGGGGCGGGGTTGCTGGCGATGCGGCTGCCGCAGGCCGCGGGGCCTGGCCTAGTTCGCAGTCGCTCGTAGCGGAAATCATAGACGCCGGTCGGCGCGCCCCGACGGCTCCGGGGCCCGCCGCCGTTAAGAACGGCGCGCTGGTCTTGGGCACGGGGGTTTGCGCTGGCACGGCACCACAGAGCTCTCCGGACACGCGGTCCGCCGGAGGAGGGGGAGAGGGGGGGAGGAGGAAGGGGAGGAGGGGGAGGGAAAAGGGGAGGACCAAGGGGATGAAGGGGAGAACTGGGTGGAGAGGGGGGGGAGGGGGAAAGACGAGGAGGACGAGGACGACCGGGAGGAGGATGGGGGAGGAGGTGCTCGCGAGTCCTCGCCCCGCCCCTCGCCGCGCCCAGGCAGAGGGCGGCGCCAGCTGCTCCAGCCGCGCCGCCGTGTCCGCGGCGCGCAGCGCGCATCGCCCAGGCGCGCGGCCGCCGCCGCCGCCTCGCGCCTTGTCGTCGTCGTCGTCGTCGTCGTCGTCGTCGTCGTCGTCGTCGTCGTCGTCGTCGACGTCAGCAGTCCGTCGTCGTCGTCGACATTGCGTCGTAGACCGTCCGTCGTCGTCGTCGTCGTCGTCGTCGTCGTCGTCGTCGTCGTCGTCGTCGTCGTCGTCCGACGTCGACGTCGTCAGTCTTTGTCGACGTTTTCATCTGTCGTCAACCGCCCATATCGTCGTTGTCTGTCGTCGTCCGTCGTCGCCCGTCGTTGTCTTCGTCATTGGCCGTCGTCCGTCTTTGTCGTTAGTCGTCGTCGGGAGTCGTCGTCGTCGTCATCGTCATTGTCGTCGTCGTTGTCGTTGTCGTTGTCGTCGTCGTCAGTCTTCAACGTCGTCGTTGTCGTCGTCGTCGCCGTTGTCGTCGTCGTCGTCGTCGTCAGCAGTCCGTCGTCGTCGACTGCGCCGTCGGCCGTCCGTCGTCGTCGTCGACCGTCCGTCGTCATCGTCGTCGTCGTCGTCGTCCGTCGTCGTCGACGTCATCGTCGTCGTCGTCCGTCTGTCCGTCGGTGTTTTCATCTGTCGTCAACTGTCTAACCCGGGGAAGCAATCAGTAAACCCCCCTCCCCCCCCCCTCATCAGAGGAAATTATAACGCTTCCGGCACCGGGGCCGGGGCGGAAGCGGTATCCCCCCCAGGTCACCAGAGGTCCGCGGAGGGCGCCGCCCAAAATAATTATTCATTTTATTTTCTGTGCTAACGATATCGCCGGGGGGGTTACTGTTTGCTTCCCGGGGTTATCGTCGTCGTCTGTCGTCGTCGTCCGTCGTCGCCCGTCGTTGTCTTCGTCGTCGGCCGTCGTCCGTCTGTGTCGTTCGTCGTCGTCGTTTTCGTCGTTGTCTTCCGTCCGTCCGTCGGTGTCTTCGTCGTCGTTGTCGTCGTCGTTGTCGTCGTCGTCCCGCCTCGCCGTCTGTCGTTGTCATCGTCGTCACTTATTTGTGCCGCGTGGGGCCCACGTGGGCCCCTTCTGCTCCAGCATCGGGGCCGTCGTCGCCAATCGGGTCTCTCACATGGCGGCCAATCACACGGGTACCGACCTCAGGTCTGAAAGTGGGGATTTCAATTGGCACGCGCCGTGGGTAATGACTGCAAGGTTCGGCCTCGGTATCCGAGATTCGGGGCGATTTTCCGTGACGTTTGGGTTGGACGGCGCCTTGTGTGGGCGAGGTTTGCAGCCATCCGAGGAGTTGCTTCGACCTCAGCTCGAATTGCAGTTGGCAACCAGCCGAGACTGGTGGCTGTGAGCGGTCGACGAAGCAGTCGTCGTCGTCGTCGTCGTCGTCGTCGTCGTCGTCGTCGTCGTCGTCGTCGTCGTCGTCGTCGTCGTTGGGCAGGCGGAGGAGGATGGGCAGGGAGGAGCAGCAGGATGAGCAGGCGGATGATATTGAGCCTGGTACGTGCGTCGTGCTTGTCGCACAGCGGCGAGCCCTGGACTATCCTCTTTGGGTTGCAGCCTCTCTTGCTCACGACAGGTCCCCACTTGGAGCCTGGCGAGCAGTCGGCACGTGCTCGCCCACAGTGGCTGCCACGCTGCCACGAGCGGGCGGTGCCGTCACGCTCTGCTGCGCCTGCACTCTCACACGATCGGTTCGTGTCATGTCGACATGGCTCCGATCCCAGCGCGGGCGTTCAAGGTTGAACCCCGACGGTGGTCCGGAATCGGCCGATCTGGGAACGATTTGGCGATCGAAAAGTTGCCGATCGGTCAAGTTGTAACGATTCGCGTAGTGTCAGAAACGCGCTTGGACTAGAAACGCGGCAGGTGGCCGTTTTTTCATTCATTCTTTTGCCAATCGGCGCGGGTCCTCGTGCCCCCCCTCCCCCTCCGTGGAGTAGATCTTGGCTGTTTCGAGCAGGTGGAGCCTCCCCCATAGGACGCACGGTCCCAAACAGTCGCACTAAGCAGAGGTCCGGAGCCAGACCCCCCCCCCTTCCGCCCAATGTCGAAACGTCGAGTAAAACAAATTCGGGGGTGGACAGACCTCCTACCCTGACGTCGATTAAGGAATTGGCCGTTTTCGGTTCGCGAGGGGGCGTCGCGGCCGTCACTTTTGCGGGTGCAGGTCCGTCGGTTTCGGTCCCAGGCTGTTTTCCCCAAGGGACGGTTTGCTAAAGGGAGGTTTGTCCACCGCCGAAGCAACGTTCACCAGGTCAGCAGCGCTGCCTAATTCTCTGGCCACTTCAGGGTTTCTCTTAAGTCGGGCACGTCCCTCTACAGGAGGAATATTCAAAAACAATCAAAACTTTGTCGGGGGAAGATTTTTTTTAGTATTTTTTTACCATTTGGGGGTATTTTTTGCGTATTGTATATTTTTCGTCGAAAACCCTCCTGTAGGGGGACGCGCCCGACTTCGGGTTTCTCGCACGCCGTTGGCCTGGTGGGCCGGCCGGCGAGAGGGCGCGCAGGCACTGCGTCGCTTCGTATTCCCAGCTCTGTCCATGGAGGACGAGAGGAGGGAGATGGGAGGAGGAGGAGGAGGAGGAGGAGGGGGAGGGGGAGGAGGGGGAGGAGGAGGAGGAGGAGGAGGAGGAAGAGGAAGAGGAGGAGGAGGAGGAGAAGACGGAGGAGGAGGAGGATGAGGAGGAGGAGAAGACGGAGGAGGAGGAGCCTGAGGAGGAGGAGGAGGAGAAAAAGGAAGAATACTGTTAATGACAATAAGACAGAGAATAATAACGAGAGCAGGAGGAGAAGGAGGAGGAGGAGGAGGAGCGAGGAGCGAGGAGGAGGAGGAGGACCTGTGTAAATCCAAGAGTCATCAACGATGTTGGAATTGACCCTCTAAGCTCCCTCTTCATAGGCCTCTACAACGCTTCATTCCCACAGCAAACTGCCTCGTTAGAAGACAACCGTTCGAAGACCCTGAAGCATGCCATTGTTCTCGAGATTTCAACGCCACGGATCAATCTGACTGCTGCGTCTTGACGATCCAGAATCGCGCCAGAAAGCCATTTGTTGACTTCAACACCGCCAATCAACATAACTGTTGCACCCGCATAATCCTGAATCCTTCTGAAACACCAGTTCTGGTACGCTGATCATGGTAACCCGTGAAACTCTTAGGTTTTTCTTTTAAAAAATGTTTTTAGAAAACAAAAAAAAACGTAATGTGCGCGGCGCTAAGGCGAGAGCAGCAGTTAGAAAAGGAGCCGCCCTGAATCCGTGAAACTCTTGCAATTGTTTATAACGAACGCGCGTGGCGTCAAGGCGCGAGCCACATTTTGAAAACGACCCCGTCAAGGCGAGAGCCAAATTTAGAAAACCACCAGCCCTCAGTCCGTGAAACTCGTGCAAATGCTTAAAACGAGTGCGCGCGGCGCTAAGGCGAGAGGCACATTTTGAAAACGACCCGCCCTCAATCCGTGAAGCTCTTGCATTGGTTTTAAACGAATGTGCGCGGCGCTCAGGCGAGAGCCGCATTTTGGAAAGGAGCCGCCCTCAATCCGTAAAATTATTGCAACATTCATGACGAATGTGCGCGGCGCTTAGGCGAGAGCCACATTCTGAAAACCATCCGCCCTCAATCCGTGAAGCTCCTGCAAATTGTTCAAACGAATGTGCGCGGCGCTAAGGCGAGAGCCACATTTTGAAAACCACCCGCCCTCCATCTGTCAGGCCGTTGCGCATGTGTAAGCTTCAGAGTCATAAGTGGGGAGGAAGTCTCAGGCGAAACGCTTGGCCCACCTCAAAAACTGGTCTCGGGGTGCGACAGGGAGAAGTTGATGAAAGGGAAAAGAAGTGGAGGAGGAGGAGGAGGAGGAGGAGGAGGAGGAGGAGGAGGAAGGCGAGGACGAGGACGAGGACGAGCCCGAGGACGGGGAAGAGGCGCGGGGGGGGCGTGCCGCGTCGAATCGCACGGTCACCCCCTTGGTTGTGCGAAGCGCGGCTCAGGGGCCTGGTGCGTGCGCGGGCAGGGTGCGTCGAGCCGAGGGGGACAGGACCGGGAGGGGACGAACGAGTGGATGGGACTGGATCGGCTGTCTGCGAAGGAAGGGTCAGTGCCGTTGCTGCCGGGCGAGCGCCGAAGCCCGGGTGGCCTCGGCGGTCGAGGGCGGCCCACAAGTGGCCCGGAAGAGCTCAGGGGTCAAAGCCGCAGGCACATGCCCGAGACAGGAGCGCTCAGGGAAAATAGCAAACGCCTCGGCTGAAAAGTAGGCACCTCCCTCCTACCTCCCCCCACCTCCTCGAGCACGCTCTTGACGGCGTGCCCCTCGCCCCCCCAGTCCTCCTCCTGCCCCTCCCCCTCCCCCTCCTCCCCCCCCTCCTCATCCTCTTCCTCCTCCTCCTGCTCCTCCTCCTCCTCCTCCTCCTCCTCCTCCGCGTCCTCCTCGACCTCCGCGGAGTCCCCGTGCGGGGGCGCAGCGCGTAGGAGGCGCACGGGTGGTCTGGTGCCCACCACCCGAGCGCGGAGACACGGCCCTTTGGTGGGCTTATTCTCGCTGAAAGGGTGCGCTCCGCGTGCACCCCTAGCCGACGCGCCTGGCACCGGTGGACACCAAACCCAGAGCTGGTAGAGTGCCGGTGCCGCAAAAGGAGGAGGGGGAGCCTCTCGCTTCGGGAGGGCTGCTGTCTTCGGGGTCCTCTCTCGCTTCGGGAGGGCTGTCCCGCGGCGGGGCTGCGGCCGTGCGAGCGCCGTGCCGCTCCCGGCTTTTCTCTTGGGGGGGGGTCCCTTCGACGCGCGCTTGCCTGGGCCTCCTCAGGGGGAGGAGGAGGACGAGGAGGGGAAGGGGGCGAAGGGGCGTGAGGATGGGGAGGCGGGGGCGCGAGCCAGGAGAAGAGGTGCAGGCACTTCCCGTCTCCTTCTCTGCCTGCAGCGCTGTGAGGGCACTTGGAGGGCCAGTGCGCCCGGAGGCTATTTTTTGTTCGAAGGGCCCGGCGATATCCGGGGTTATTGGGCCCGCTGCCCCCCCTGGCACGTGGCTGACTGCCCAGCTCCGTTGGGAATTCAAGTGTTGGGTTGCATGGGCGAGGTAAGCGTTCTCGTGGTCATCGTCTTGCGGCTCCGCCTGCCCAAGGACACGTCGCACCGTGCTGGCCGCGATCACGAGAACACCTTCCCTGGACAGATATTGCAGCGTTTGACAATGATTCAGATTCATTACTATTCGAATTCTTCTTCCTCCACTGTTGGGCAGCGCATGGCAGCGACTACATTACTTACCTGGTCTACATTCCTGTTTCCTCTCAGTCGCATTCTGCTTCCGCGTTTTCTCATGCGGCTGACTTTGCGGATTGCCTTCGCCCGGGGATCGGCCCCTTTTATCTTATTGGAGGGCACGGTCACCCCGCGCCGTTACTGCCAACATGCAGACGTGCTTGCGAGAATCTATCAGCAGCAGCGGCTCCGTCGAGCGCTCGGGGTTGATCCCCCAGCAGAGCTCCCGCGTGGCCGCCTTTCCAGGCCACCGCCGACGCCCTCGTCCTCCGACCGTCGGACTGGGCACTTCGGGGCGACGTGGTGATTAGCGCCTGGAATGCACAGGCCCTCTTCGCGTCGGAACCCGCGCGGCGGGACCATGAGATGCGGTGCGTCCAGTAGTTGATGCGCACGACGGACATCCTCCTTCCGGCTGCGACTCATGGCACGATCGCGGATGTTGCGGTCTGCGGAGCTCGTCCTGGCTGTTCATGCCGGTGGTCCGCGGGCCCCACCTGCAAGGCGCGATGGAGTGGGGGCCGTCGCGCGTTTTTCCTCAGACCCCATCGATTCCCCGCCAGTTTGGTCAGGGATTTGGCGAGGCCGAGCGGCCGAGCGGGGCTCCCAGTCGCGGCGGTCGTCTGCGGCCGCGCGGGGTCGCACCTGGCGAAGGCCGAGTTGTTCGGCGCCCGCCCTTCGGGCCGCTCTAGTTGCAGCTCCTTCGCGGGGCTGCGGGCCTGCCTGCGCGCCAGGATTGCTGGCCAGCTCGCCCCAGCTCGCAATGCCTTCGCTCCCTGGCGGGGACTCTGGCAACGCCGCGGGGCCCCGAGGGCGACGGGCGCCGGCCTCACAGCAGGGTTCCGGCGTTCGGGATGGAGGAGGAGGCGACATTCTCAGTCTGCGACCGGGCTGCCAGTCAATTTGCACGCGGTGCACCAGCTAGATCTTACACACTCGTCGGCGAGCTCGCGACCCCGAACCGACGTGCTGTATTTTAATCGATCGATGGCTGAACAGCTGCGCCGGCACCCCTCCTGCTGCGCCCTCCCTAGGAAAATTGGCCCCTCAGCGCGCCGCGTGGCCGCCTTTGCCCGCCGCGTTCCGCGGCGCGCGCCCGCGTCGCAGCGGCCAGTCCCAGAGCAGACCGTCCAGCGCCCAGACTGCGTCCGGAGGGTCCACTTGGAGCGCGGGGAGCTTCGTCGCCACCCGGAGGGCGTCGGCATCCATGAGCTGAGGCACTTTAAAGCGGCGACGCAGCTGGCCGGCATTCGTCTCGAAGGGGAGTTTTCGACTTGCCCGCAGGCCGAGGCGCTCGAAGACAGGCCGGGGGCCGCCATCCGCATGATGCGCCCCTTCGAGCGGGGGTTTCCCGGGGGCGTGTCCTCGCGCTTGGCCCGCTATCCACGCTCGAGGGCGCTCGTCGCCAACTCGTGTGACTTCGCCGGGAACGTCGCGAGCAAGCTGCATCGGGTTCGGGAGCGCGCGCTCGAGTTGGCGCGTTCACGCGCGCCGCGCGAGCTTTTTCATCGGGCGCCCCAGGGTTCCGAGTCCGTCCAGGCTGCAGAGACGAGGGTCCGCAACAGCCGATTCATTTTTCGACTTCGGCCAGGGCGGTCTGCCGCAGCTCGCGCGGCGCAGGGCGCGCGGGGGGAGCGGCGAACGTCGCCCGACGGAATGGCGGGCGCTCTTCGCCAGCATTGGGCAGGTGCTCTCCGAGCGCGGGGCGTCGACGACGAGGCAGGTGGCCGCGTGGTTGGATGATGATGCGGACGACCGCCCGCTGCCGCACCTCGCCCCGCGCCCTGCTCGAAGTTCCCGCTTTGAGACCGAATCGCATCCGGGGGGCGCGGCGGGCAGCGCGGGGCTCGAGCCGTTTTCCGCCATGGGGTCAGTCGGTCTTCCTTGCCCGGCACGGAGACAGATCGATGGAGTTGGCCGCGAGTGCGTTCTGCGAGGCGTTCGCGGACATCTGCGGGGAGGGCCCGGCTCGTCGGCGCCAGGGGCGCGCCCCGGACTTCAGTCGCCGTCTCCTCTTCGTCCCGAAGGGCTCGCCGGAGCAGGCCGAAGACGGGGGGCCGTTCCGCGGCGTCGCGCAGGTGAGGCCGCCAAGGCGACCGACTTCGAGGCCGCGTTCCCGTCCCTGGAGCGCGCCTTCCTGATGCGGTTGTTGCGGCACTTCGGTCGGCCCGAGTGGCTGGCCTGTTTTGCCCGGGCGCCGTGCCGAGGCAATTATTGCGACGTCGCGCTGAAGGGGGGAGGTGCGAAGGATTCGCGCTCGCCCGCGGGGTGCGACCGGGCTGCCTGCTGTCGCCGTTACTCTTCACAGATGCTTCAGACCTGCTGCCGCGCCGAATTCAGCGCCTCCTGCCCAGCGCCACAGGGCAGGGTTCACGCTGGCGATCTCGCCCCCGTAGCAGCCCAGGCGCTCTCGAGGCTCTCCCAGTCATCCAGGAGCTGCTCCACGATTGCGGCAGCCTTTCGGGCCTCCGCCTCAACTTCGAGAAGACTGCGATCGCGCCTTTCTCCTGCTACTCAGCCATGCAGCCGCGGCGCTGCACGGCTGCTTGGGCCCCGGAATGGGGGGCCACGGCGATCGAGGACCAGGCCAGATGTCTCCTTGGCTCGGCCCGCGCTCTCATGCGCGCGCTACTCGACCCCTGCGTGGGCCAGCGGGCACGCAGCCGATACTAACAATACTACTAATAACATTATTAATCCTACGATTTTTGGTTAATAGTCAAGGGCGTAAAAAACGCCCCTGCCCTGGTTTAAGAGGCGCTGTGCGCTGAACCTCCTGTGGGCTGGCAGGGTAGACCCTGCATATCGCGCGTGTCGCGCGGCGTCCTGGCGGCTCTCTGGCCTCTGGGAGTTCCCAGGAGGTTTACGGACCACGCACTTGTGACCCAAGGTAGGGGCGTTTTTGCAACCCTCAGAATAAGACGAATCAGAATAACAATCGCGAGAGCAATCGTAACAATAGTGGCAGCAAGACTAACAATACGAAGAACAATCACGCCACGAACAATAATAGTACGAATCTTGCTAGTACAAAGAAGAAGAGTCACCTTGTGTACCTCGTAGAGCTCTTCGGCATCGATGAGCTAGAGGAATTCCGGCGCGGGGTGGAGCTAGTTGGCCCACCCGGCCGAGGCGGACAATGTGACAACTTTTGGGTGGTTTTGCGAATATTTGAAAGATATTTGACAATTTATTTTGAGAAACCAGATTTTTCGCACCTGTAGTGGCTTTTGCCGTGTCTGCCAGTACAATTTCCAGGTCTGTAGGTGCAGTATTACTATGAAAAGACTTGGGGGAACCGACGTTGAGTAAAAGCAGAAAAACGTGTTTTTTTGAGTTTTTCTTTCTCGCTCCAGAAGCTTTCTCTCCGTGTTCCGACGATCGCCGTGCAAGAAAAGAGCTCTACGAGGTTCCCGGCGGTAGCCAGGTTGACGGTTTACCGCCGGTTCCAGTATATGAATGAGAAGAGTAAGAATAATCCGACGGGTATTACTAATAACAATACAACGAAGAGTAATGATAATAATCAGAGTAATAACCATACACAGAATAATAACAAGAAGAAGAGGAGGAGGAGGAGGAGGAGGAGGAGGAGGAGGAGGAGGAGGAGGAGGGAGGAGGAGGACTTATCGACAGGGGCATGGCGGCCGAGAGGGGCAGGGCGGCCCTCCGTCGGCGAGGCCCGCGCGGCCGCCCTGCTCGCGGGCGCGCGCGCGCGGCGCCCGCGCCCAGGGCGGTGCCTGGGCGAGGTGGCCCGGCTGCCGGAGCACCTGTGGCGAGCCGCGCCCCGCCCCTGCGGCGCCCCGGCCCCGATCCGTCGCGTCGCGAAAATATAGAAAATCACGTGAACGAGGAGGGGGAGGAGGAGGAGGAGGAGGAGGAGGAGGAGGAGGAGGAGGAGGAGGAGCAGCGTCCTGATCGCGTCGTGAAAATAAAAAATCACGATGGCGTTTTTTTTGTCATTCTCGGCCTCCGGGGGCTCTTCCCGGGCCTCGGGGCCGTCAGGAAACGACTCGGGACGAAAAGCCGGTCGATCGGGAAGGGGGTCCAGAGCTCTGGGGGTCGGCGTTTCGAGAAAATCACGGCGTCGGGGGTCTGGGAAAGGGGGGCGCTTTCAGGAGGCCGCGCCCGAAGTGCGCCGCCAGCCCCGCCGCGAGGGGCCCCAGGGGGCGGGCCCGTCGCC